ATGCCTATTCTACACATCCAGTCCATCTTCATGTGTATGTTATGCGTTTTTTAAAGATGCAGAAGGAAATGAACCTATTGCTGTATTTGTGAGCAGAAGAATTTCATTCAGTTCCTTATGCAAATGCTAAATTTTTGCAGGGGGAAATGAACCTCGACTTGTGGCCGCAGCAACTGATCAATTGAATAAATTGCCATTTTATCATTCCTTTTGGAATCGCACCACAAAACCATCACTGGTATTCTTGATGTTCTTAATTCCCATGATTTCATCCACCCAACGCAATTTTTTTTTTTTTGAATCACTCACTCATTAAGTTGTGTTAAGTTCTGCATGATACATTTTATTGTTCGGCTTCTACCTTTCTAGAGTAGCCATTGCTTCTGTGTTTGTTATTACAAAATAAACAAGGGGTATCTTCTGAAAATATTGGTCTTACAGGATCTTGCAAAGGAACTTCTTGAAACTTTTACTGCAAGGAAAATGGCAAAAGTCTTCTTTACAAACAGTGGATCTGAAGCAAATGATACTCAGGTATTTTTACAAACAGGCACTCATATCGGTAATGAGTATAATTTGGTGATTGATATAAACTGAAAAAGTGGTGAAGTGGTGCTTGCTGATGTTTGACTTTCTTCAATTGTTGTGTAGGTGAAGCTCGTTTGGTATTATAATAATGCCCTTGGAAGACCAAAAAAGAAGAAATTTATTGCTCGGGCAAAATCGTAAATTACAACTACTCAATCAATACTGTTTTTAGTACTTCTCTTTGTATTATGTTTTGATCATCCTTTCTCTTTTGTTAAATTTGTCAGATACCACGGTTCAACTTTGATATCAGCTAGTCTTTCTGGGTAAAAGTTACTTTATTGGTAAAAATGTTGTTACTTAGCGTTTGAAATCCTTGAGTTCTTAAAAATTAGATCACTGTTACAGACTTCCTGCTCTACATCAAAAGTTTGACCTGCCAGCACCATTTGTGTTGCACACTGACTGCCCTCATTATTGGCGCTATCATCTGCCAGGTTTTCATTTTTACCAATCTTTTCTGAGATATTCTTTTAAACATTTTAAGTGATAGCCATCTTTTATTCATGTTTCAGGTGAGACGGAGGAGGAGTTCTCAACCAGATTAGCCAATAATTTAGAGAATCTTATTCTGAAAGAGGGTCCAGAGACGGTAATGCTATCTAACATTTTTTTAACTTGAAATGGAATGCTTTTGCAACTAGAAGGGGTTGATTGTGTCGCTGACGTAGAAGGTTTGTTCATCTCAGATTGCTGCATTTATTGCTGAGCCAGTGATGGGGGCAGGAGGTGTAATACCTCCTCCTGCTACTTATTTTGAAAAGGTGAGTTTTAATAGCTAATCATCATTATACACTTGGAATAACTATTATGTTTGCTTTCTGATCTCATGAGCAATTAGACATGTTTTTCCTGATTTACTAGAATACATCGAAAATAGTATACTGGCACAACTTCGTTTGAGGCATCCAAGTGCATTCATAATTTACTGCAAATTTTCATTTTCTCTACCATGGTTTCTGTCATCATGTCTGATAGGATTCTGACCTGCAACCTTCCACCCATGTTTGTCTTCCCTGGACCAACCTGTTTCAAGTGAAATTCTACTAGTTTCAGGTCTAAGATTCTACAATAGAACAGGTCAAATTGATTGGACTTGTTGCAGCTTTTAAATGTAATATTGTTTGCTGCAGTTCAACTTTAATTACAAAACACCCTTCATGGCATAGAAAATTGTCTAGACCTACCCTTATGAAGCAAAACTCAAAGTTCTTTTATGGTAGTTCACGCTGTCTATAGCCCTTTCTCTGGAACAATAACAAAACCCCGTTTCACTGAGCATTTTTGAAATGGTGTTGAAGTTGTTATATGCTCTGGAGTCAGTTAGCTTCTTGATTATGATGCTTCAATGTGGAAAACGGGCAAAGTTGTGTGATGTTGCATTTGAAGAATATAATACATGTTTATTTTGGCTCTATTATTTTAGCATGAAATGTCTTATAAAATTTCTCTGCAGTTTTTACTAATGTAGCGTTTCAAATATCATGCAGATACAAGCTGTTGTGAAAAAATACGACATACTTTTTATTGCAGATGAGGTATTTGACTATTTCTTTGTCCATATTACCATCATGTTTTTAGAAACCTTTTAATTGTTGGTTCTTAAGCTTGCTTTTTGTGCTTGCTTTAGGTTATTTGTGCTTTTGGAAGGCTTGGGACAATGTTTGGATGCGACAAGTACAATATTAAACCAGATCTTGTTTCATTAGCAAAGGTGAAGTTGTAACAAAATATTCAGGTATAACATAGGCTTGGACCCTGAGATAATTCTCATCTTTCTGCATATGCTGGTATTTGTTACACAGGCCCTTTCTTCAGCATATATGCCCATTGGTGCAGTCATGGTGAGCCCTGAAGTTTCAGAAGTCATTTATTCTCAAAGCAACAAACTTGGTATGTTAATAATACTCATTAAAGAGCATGTATTTATATTCAATTTTTTTAGTGCCTTGTCTAATTTCACTCATTTCAGGTTCTTTCTCTCATGGATTCACCTACTCTGGGCACCCTGTATCCTGTGCTGTCGCAATTGAAGCACTGAAGCTCTACAAGTGTGTTCCTTACTGTCTCTAAATATAAAATATAAAATAATTTCAAAATGTTTGGATTGCAAGCATTAAATTTTTTACATTTGTTATTTTGTGGAGTAGTTAAATTTTGTGTCAAGTATCTTAGAGTAAGTTTTGCGTTGAATCCTCAAGTTATCTTAGAAGGCACTTGGTTCACCCTAAGAACAATAAGATGGGTAAATTGTTCATGTTATCTTATCTTGAAGGTGCATAACCCTAATAATAACCGAAGAAAACCATAACGAAAAGGTCACAAAGATTATTTCTTCGAGTTGTGTACTGATTAAGAAGTCATTCTAGATAAATGTGTTTCATGGCTCATCTTTCAGCAGTACATTCATAACCTGCAAAAAATGTTAGACATGTTCTGACCCCTGTTCTCATATTGCATATAATACTGCCTGAAGTCTACTTCACATCCTTGCAGGGAGAGAAATATTGTTGAGAAAGTGAAGAGTGTTTCTCCAAGGTTTCAAGATGGTCTCAAATCCTTTTCTGATAGTCCTATTGTTGGAGAGGTACATTCTGTCATTGAAGTATCTAGTATATATAGCAGAATGTTTAGTAACCATGAGATATTAAATTGGAATCCTCTTTTATTCTGCAGATCCGAGGTACTGGCTTAATTCTTGGTACAGAGTTTACGAACAACAAGTCACCTAATGATCCATTCCCTCCTGAATGGGGCAAGTTCTCCTTTCTCTTATTGTTTACTCTATGTGATAAAGCTACTTATTTGTCTTATCTGCATGCTTAGGGATTTGAGTTGCCAAATTAATATAGAGGCACTTGGGGGTGTATCTTGATGGTTTCTTTTCTTGGTGTTCCCTATTGACAAATTATTGATGATTTCCACGACAGGAATTGGTGCATATTTTGGAGCACAATGTGAGAAGAATGGAATGCTAGTACGTGTTGCGGGTGACAACATAATGATGTCTCCGCCCTTTATAATTACTCCTGAAGAGGTTGATGAAGTAAGTTTGACAATCTTACTTGTATCTGCTGCAGTGTCTTGAAATTCTGAGTATATTTTTGCAATTTCCTTGACGTGATTTCCCAGCAGTTATTTTTAGGGTGTGTTTGAGTGGAATTTACTTCATGTGAACATGAGTTTAGCATCGCATGACAATTGGAAGGTTTTGACTTGTTTAGAAATTAATGAGTAAAAACTTTCTGCTGTGGAGGTCCAATAATGTGTCATAGGATTTACAACTTATATGGATTTGTAGGAGACGAGAGAAATGATGGGAAAGAAGCTTCAAAGATCAATTTAAAGTGAAAATGAATTTCTTGGTAGTTTTTGGAAATGAGAAGCGGTATGACAAGAAATGAGGTTATTATATATATATAACTAGAACTTTTCATCCTTGTATTCTTGAATTTAAGGCATATATTTGGAAAAACTTGCTTTAGTTAGCCATGTTTCTCTCCCAATCTTCCACTGTTGGAAGGATTTGAAGCTTGGGTAGGAGAGAAAGCAACATAGTTTCTAAGGGATAATATAATTTCTCTTCCTTTGATTCCTCTCTTAATTTTGATATTCAAATTAATGATATTTCTGTACTTTCCTTCTCCCATTTTAATGTTGGTAACCCCATGAAGAGGATGGTTATTTTGACTTGGTATATCCATTTCTGGGCTTGCATGCACTTGTTTCCTGTCTTTTGTTCCTCTTCTAGCTGTCGTTACAATAACTGAAAATGTTTACTTTGTACAGTTAATAAGCAAATATGGGAAAGCATTGAAGGCAACTGAAGAGAGGGTGAAGGAACTCAAGTCCCAGCAGAAGAAACAGTGAAGAGTTTTTGTTTGATGATGGTGAAAACTGCGTAGGCTTCATTTAAAGCAAAAGCTATTAAACAGTTGTGACTGCTACTTGTGTGAGATATCTGGTCAGCAGCTTTTCTTTTTCTGTTATATTCTTGTACGCTAATCCTCTAGTTTACTTTGAATCTTGCATTTTGCCCACCCAACATTAATATTTTAAAAAATTATAAATAAATAATTATATTTAAAATTGATTGATATAATTCTTTTCTAATTTTAATGTTTGACCATTCTCGTTTTTAAACATTAACGATGTCTTTGACTTAATCAATAACATAATAAATTTAATTGAACAAACAATTTGTATAACATTAATGAAGATATTTCTAATATAATTATATAATAATTATGAATAAAATTTGTATCTAAGAAAAATTTACTCTTTTTTGTTTTAAAAAAAAATTAATTACAGTTTTAGTCTCTTAGATGGCAAATTTAGAACTTTACACGTTTCAAATCGGTATAAATCCATATCTATATTGCTTCGAGTTGAGTCAATTTAGACAAAGTGACAGGAGGGTTAGATTGCTTCATGTTGGGTCCAAACAGATGTTGCCACGTGGGCACTTGACCTATGTTTGACTAAAACTACAGGGCAATAAAAGTCCATAAATTTTAGTCGGAACCAAGGGTGTAGCAAATACAGATACGTGAGATTGTTAAGCAAGGTGATGAATAAAGCCACTGTATACTTAACATGGGGTTAGGAGTCAGTCGGAGTAATCCTCCTTTCTCCTGTCCTTTCATGGCTGAGTTTATATAGAGAAGATCACGTTTTGTGGGAACTAATCATTAACAAAATCAGCAATTTGGTCCTTCATGGCTGTGGATGGCCACAGATGAGCCTCACTAGATTTTAGAGATAACAAGACCAAATTTGTCAGGGGTTACACTAGAGCCAAGAGATACAAGCATTTCATCTAGTGTGTGTGCTGAATGATCTGTTTTGATGCGAAAAGGCCATTTTATTCCATAAGTTATTGCAAATAGAGAGAGATAAGAGTCAACTTTTGGCGTCTTTCTCTGCTTTTCTTCTTGCACGCCTTTTCCTAGAGCTTAGAGAAGAATCAAATCCTCCATCTTCTTCTAACTCTCTAAACGATTTCTGCACATTTAGCCCAACAAAAAAAAAAAAAAACAGATAATAGTATAAGTTTTGCAACACTTAAAAACAGTACATACCAAACAAGAATCAAGCCAGATGAAACCAACAGCTAAGGAAGAAAGGTACCTCTCTTATCTCAGCAAAGCTAACGGCATAAAAGGTAACAGCTGCTGCTGCAACGATTCCCAAGACTGGAAGGACTACTTGGGTCACTCCATCCATTTCTCTCTTTGCCTTTGCTCAGTGCTCACTGTAGTTTCCCTTCGCTACCACTGCCTGGAGATAAGGTTTTGTTTCTTTATTGCGTTTCCCTTTGGACTCGAGAGGATACATAGCATTTGGGCTGGCCCAACTTATGCCAACGCGGGTTGTGTTCAAGCGCAAGGCTTTAGGGTAGATCTGGAAACACGAATCTTAATCTTGTTCTTTAAATATAGACTACTAATAATTATATTAAGTAAATATAATTAATTAATCATATTAATATTTACAATATATATATATATGCTTAATAACTGTGTAATAAGACACGACATGGCAAACACATTTTTTAACTTTATGCGACAGAACAAGGTTAAAAACATAATTAAGTGATTAACATGATCCAACAATTAGTACACAATTAAATTAAATGATTTATAATTCAAATATATTTTTATTTTTCAAGTTTAAATTTGATAATCATATAAACGATTATAACAAGATAATAATATCATCAAATAAAATAAAAATTCAACACAAATAACATTCATAAAATTCATTATCATAATAAAATAGTCTTCTATTATTAAATTTAAACTGATTGCTAAACATGTTTCACTTATACAAGTTAAATATAATCAATTAAATGAGTTTGAACATGTTTTAAATGTGTCAAATACTATTAACACGGAACAAGATAAAGCTAAATCTAAATTCGTTTAATTTCGTATCTTCTTGTGCTGAACTAATGTGTCATATCTAAAATAATTAAATTTAAATTAGGATCATAGTCTCATGTACAAAGCATGCCTAAATTTTTTTAAAAAAATTTTAAGAAAATGAGACATTCGAAGCCTAAATTTTTAAATAAAATTTGGTAGTTTATGGGGGTCTAAATCATCCTATAGAAAAGTTGTGATAATCCAATCAACTCTCACGTTCAAATTGGTTGAAATAATGTGGTATGAAATAAATAATTTTTGATCAGATCAAATATTTTTTCTAATCTCGAGGCGTTATTTTATTCAAACATTATACATATAAATGGAAATTAATTTTCAAAAAAAAATATACAAATAGAAATTACATCAACATATATGATATAAATATTAAAAAAAATTAACGACAAATCAAATCAGTAAATTAACATATCATTTAAAGATAATCCAACATAAAATTAAATAAACTCAACACACCCATTATGCCAATGCCTGCATAGACAAAGAATTGACATGCACTGACCTCTTCATGTCAAATCTTGCCTCATCTTCACCACCAACCAAGAGAAAGAGGGAATGAACGGTGAAAAAACAATAAAGAAAGAAAGAACATCATGGCTAATTTTTTTTTCTGTATTGAACCAAATTGGAGATGGGTTATTTACATGAATATTAGACTTTAGGTCATAATATTAATATGTCTACCTACTGGGCATGAACAAACATAGAGATATATGGCCAAAACGAAAACACATAGAGAGAGGACTCCAGGCATTGCTTGATGGGTTCCACATCATGAAGTTGATAACTACACCCAAATTCATAATAGCTGACCATATTCAATCAAATAATCTTTAATAGAAATAAATGAGTACTTAGTTTTCATTTGAATAATAATAACACTTCTCTTATTTACTTTTTGTTTTCAGAAAAAGAAAACAAAAGCATGTTTGAATGAAAATAAATAATATTTTGAAAGCTTGTACATAAAATATATAATATAAAAAAAACAAAATGCATGATTTTATTTTTATATAAATTAATTATACTATAAGCTGTGTTATTATTTTAATTATTTGTTTATATTTAATTAATTACAATTATATTTTTTATTTTATACCTTCACTTTATTAACAAATTTAATAAAAAATTAAAAAAATAAAGAAAAAAAGGCTTTGGGGATATTGACCATTGGATGACCTGGAATGGTCCTATTTGAAGATTTGGCCCATTCGTTGACCATTTTGAGGAGCAGCTGGTTTGGAATTTTCAAGGCTCCAACGACTGGTCAGCCAGTTGGTGTTGGGCCGGCCTTGACTTGGTCAAGAGTCAAACCATTTTGCCTCCCAAATTCCAAGTACAATTTGCCCAAAATGCTTACTTCTCCTCAATTTAACCCTCTTCTTCATCCACATTTTTTTTTCCACTCACTCAAAGCATCGAGCATAATAATTTCTAATTAATAAATATATATATTTAAAAAATATATAATATCATAAATGTAAATTACAATCATATAGTGTATCAAATTCATAATTACTAGAAATTTGAACATCAATCTACATTACAAAGTACAAACATATAACAAGTTTATTCAACGATAACATGAAATTGAAATCTTAAAATTCAAACATTTTAGTGCATGTTTCCATTAACTTACGATAATAAAAAATAAATTAAAAAAAAAGTTAGTAAGATAATTTATAATTTCAAAATATGTATAAAATCAATCTAAAACTCAATACTACAATCTAATCCTTTTAGTTTGGCACAATGATTTTTGTTTTTTTTAATAAAACAAAAATGATTTGGAACAATGATTGATTACCTAAAGATCGCGGACTACACTAAAAATGTCAGTCTTAAAAATTTAGATCATCGATCACCCATCACTTTAAATTCGTAGATGGCATGATTAATAAAACGTTGACTATTATAAGTATTTATGACTTTTTAACTTGAAGGATTTATGCCCTAGATCTCAATTAAATCTCCTTTGTAGCAGTTGAAATTCCTATTGATATCTTCAGTGAAAAATAAGACTCCTAATTCGTGAAGATGGTGAAAACATGTAAACTAGACATGTGAGATTTGAATTAAGATTCCTCCTAAAAGAGACCACAAATTTTCTTCAAAAATGTTTATTAACAACTTTGTTTTAATAAATACAATAAATAACAATATTTATGGTCATACAAGATGTAAAGTGAACAAGTTGGCTTTTAATATGTGAAATTCCACAATAATTAGCCTAAAATCCAGCTGATTCAATGGATGGGAGCTGTCTAGACTTGACCCCCTGGTTTTCAACAAATTTCTTTCTTCTTTTTTGGGCACTAAAAGGATCCCATTTTTGTTTTTATTTTTTCAAAAATATAAGGAAAAAGTCTTCTCATAAGACTGATTATTTAAGTACTGCATTGGTATGGGAATTATTAATTTTTTTAAAAAGTTTAGATTATGGTCTCACCCTGAGTGAATAATGAGGAACATCATAAAGCCAGTGGAGTAAGACAATTTCATAAATCAAAGCTGACTCAGCTGACCCATTGCCTATACTATAGTTGCCGCTATGGTACAATGTTGCCAACCATAATTCAAATAATATGGGGTGAATATTATTTTCTACAATAAATGGACAAGAAAATTAAAGTTTTTATTTGTAAGAAAATATATTTTTTGTAGAAAAAATATCAAAAAAAAATTTTCTTTATTTTTTTAATGTCGGATATCAATTTTGTAAAATAAATTTAACCTAAATCGTTAGTTTTTTTTAAAATTTTATTATATTTTAAACAAATATCGCATCATCGTCTTAATTGTAAATATTTAATTTTTAACAGTTACATGGTAAAATTATACTAAAATTTAAAGAAAAGAAGTAACATTGTTCCAAGAGAATAGAAAACTAAAGATGGAGCCTCTAATTTATTTATCTTTTAAAAATCTTATGTAAGCATAAATGGCTAAGATGAAAGACGTGAAAATTAGAAATTACTATAAATTAAGGAAACATTTGAGCTGATCTATGGATCCAAAAAAATTATTGTATTATATCAGTTTATAATAAAAAGGTTAAGGCAAATGTCCTTGTCATCCAAAGAAAGACAGAGTCGTCCCTCACCTTTGCAAGCGTACATCATAGAAGGGCGGTTTGGTCGGTCGACAATGGCCGCCACTTTGAGACCAAAAACAAGCCCAACAGTTTTCTTTGTTGTTCAATGACCAATCTAACCTCCGTCGTCTCTTAAACCTCCTAAACACCATTCCCTTTTTCACTATGTTATAAAATATTTATTTAATAATATGGATTAAAGTATTTGATTCAATACTATTGAATAAGTGCAAGTATCCCATTCATTCAAACTAAGATCAAATCTTCTTTTTTACTGTATAATAATTTCTGTTATAATACTATAGCGACTTTTAAAAATTTTCAATCTATTATACTAATTAAATAATGATTTATGCACTCAAACATTTGACTTATTGATTGATGCATGATATTTTGTTTAAAACGTAAAATTCAAATCTTTTTTTTTTTAACAAAAAAAAACTACACAATAATTTGTATTTTTAAAATTACCGTTTCCATTCATCTAAAACACATTATCAAAATCACATAATATTTTTGGTGTTCTTATGTCTACTTCCTCACCATTCTCATTTTCTACTTTCCTAGCTAGGAATATAAATGAGTTTGAGTTACTCGTGAGGTATTCGAGTTTGACATGATAAATACTTGAAATCATTCAACCAAATGTGAATTCAAGTTGTTTGAGTAATCAGTCAAGTTGAATGTGAGTTTTACAATACTCAAATTAGAGTGATTCACGAACAATATCGAACTTTTAAATAATTTAATATATTTTAATATTACATAAAAATAAAATATGATATTTATTTATATATTCTAAAATTTATTTAAGTGTTGATTTCAAACTTATAACTCTTCACATCAACTAATAATAATTGAGGCTAATCAAGTCGAGCTTGAATAGTTTGATCATTTTGTGAGTCTAGCTTGAACACAAACAAATATAGCTCGATCAAGCTCAAGTCTCGAGTTCTTAATCTAGCCCAACTCGAGCTTGACATGACTCAATTCACTTACACTCTTGTCAGACTCACCAATTATTCCAATTTAAATTCTAAGATAACAATCTAGTAAAAACTTCACTTTTTAGTACAAATGTAAAATTGGTTGTATTTCCCTTTTGAGTTTGGATATAATGTTCAAAAGGTTATGCAAAAAAAGTAAAAGTGCTACTACCTTCTTTAATTTTAGTAACATCTTTTTCTATGCTCATCTAGCTACTATTCCTAGACAAAAATTGTGAACAAGAATTGCTTTGAATTAGAA